CTATCTATCTATCTATCTATCTATCTATCTATCTATCTATCTATCTAATAAGGCATTGCTTTGCCCCTCTCATCCTTTCTCTCCCTGTTCGGAGCTGGACGGTTCGGAGTCCAGCTCTGGTCCAGCCGGAGCGGATCTGGGGCTCCGGGGCCTGCTGGCCTCTGACAGGGCCACAAATTCCTCAGCGTGCATCAGCGCGAGCCGCCTCCGGGGGCCTTCGGGCCCCCGCATCCCGCGGCCCCCCGCCCGGCCCGGCCCGGCCCGGACCGGACCGGAACGGGCCGCCGGGCGCAGTCCTCCGGACAGCGGTGGAGCAGCGGGCAGCAGAGAGCAGGCCGGCCGCGCCACGGCCGAGCCGCAGCCCATTTTCCTACCAGCATCCCCCCTCATCCCTCCGCCTGCACACCGGCCGCAGCCCTCGCGACGCGGGCGGGCGCGCGCTTACCCGTCGCCCACCACCACGCATTTGATCGCTTGCATCTGTGCAGGAGCTGGAGGACGGAGTCCGGGATCCGGGGGTCTGCTCTGGGGTCTGGGATGGAGCAGCGGGCTGGTCCGCCTGGCGATGGAGCCGCAATGAAAGAGGTCGAAGACGAGCGGAGCCGAGCTGTTCCGGAAAGAGTCGAGTGCTTTTAAAGGGACAGGGTGGAGACTGCTGGTGAGGACGGAGACTGGTCCCCGCTCTGCTGGTCACTCTCCTCTGCCGGACCTCAGCTCCAGACCAGGTCTCCTAACGATGGGGCGTCCGGCCGGTCAGCTGCAGCCTCAGTGTCCGGTCAGCGGCCCAAACCACCGGCAGACGGTTTCCACAGCAACGGGGGCACAACATGGCCCCTCCCACATCCATCCTGCGCAGCCTCATGCACGCGGACGTACTGGAGCCCCGGGGCTGTGGCTCCAGCCCTGGGGGGTCCCTCCCCAGACCCGGTAGGTCCCAGTTTGGGTTTCTCTACATTTAGAGGCGACTCAAGACTTTTCCTTTTCTTTCTAATTGTTCTTCTAAATGACCCAGTCAGTGTGAGCTGCTCTGGTTGGAGAGCTGGGAGATAGCTGCTGTTGGGATTTGGAGCTATAGGAATAAAGTTGCATTTAAATAAATTACTCTGGACTCCCACTGTGACTTTTTGGTCCAGGGGACTGGGGTGTGGGGCCCCTGCCTACAGCTATCTGTGGAGAGTCTCTCTAAATATCCACATACTTATTCTTAAATATCCACATGCACTACAGGACTATGTGTGAAGGGGCCTTTGGATCATAAGTCCTGGCCATCGTTCGGCCCTTAAGGGGGCATCACTGTGTCGGTGTTTCTGCCTCTCAGGGTGGGGGGTTCTTTCTGCCCCCCCCCCTCTTTCCTATCCTGTTCTGTTGTATTTATTCCCCAAGTCTGAATAATCTTTTTTTTGTTAAGATTGGGAAGCGTTGAGCGGTCGGCAGTGCTAAAAAGGCTGGGGAGCACTGGTCCAGACCCCCAGCCGGTCCAGCCTGGGGGGTCAGGCTGCTCTGAGGAGCACCGGCTCATTCTCAGCCAGCCACAGTCCAGACAGGGTGTTTATGTCTTTATTGTCATGACACAGAAAGCACCAGAGAGCTGAGGCAGCAGCTCTGGGGTGATGGTGCCCCCCCACTGTCCTTTCCCCAGCTGGTCAGCACCTTTCCAGCATGGACAGCCTCCACTCCCCTTTACTGTGTCCACCCCCCCTCCCCCTCCGGGCCCCGGGCCGTGCGTGACTGTCCTGGCCTGAGCAGGAGCCCCAGGCCGCCGGGGGGAGGGGGGGGGTCACTTCTTTGGGCCCAGAGGGGAGCCCTGGACGTAGGTGAGGATGGCACTCTGGAGGTAGCTGGCTCTCTGGGCCTCGTCGTCTCGCATCCTCTGGATCTCGGCCTCTTTCAGGCGCAGCTTCTCCATCATGGACGCCAGCTCGCTCTCCTTATCCAGCAGCGCTTCCCTGTGCCGGCCGGTCAACACTGCAACCACAACCCCCCCACTGTCAGAGCTCCTCACACCAATCAGGCGCACACAGAGCCACAGAGCAGGTTCAGGAGAAGGACAGGACGCACAGGAACCGGCAGCAGGACGCACCTTTCTTCTCCCTCTCCAGGGCACAGAGCTGGGCCCTCAGCCCCTCCTGGCTGCTCCTCTGGGCCTGGACCTGAGCCGCCTGCTCCTGCAGCTCCACTCGGACCCGGCTCACCTCAGCCACCCTCTCCTGGTCCTTACCCGACAGCTCCTGCAGCACAGCGCGTCAGAGCAGCACCCCCCCACCCCCCCGACCCCAGCAGCTCCCAGCTGGGGAGGGGAGGGAGCTGAGAAGATCCAGGACAGAGCACAGCTGCAGCCCCCCACCCACCAATCCCCCGTCTCTGTGCAGCACGGAGCTCCGGTCAGGTACCAGCTGACGAGCTGAGCAGGGGTCAGTTCTATGTGTCAGCAGCTAAACAAAAGGGCCGGGTCTGGTTTTTACCAGAGATGAGGACCCTGCTAGAGTCCACAGCAGGACCACGAGGACCAGATGAGTTAGGCTCAGTTGCACCAGAGACAATTTGACATTCAAGTTTTTCGTGTTTGCAAATATTTAGATTTTTTTTGTCCATAGACAGTGTCAGATAGTCTATTTGGATGGTGTTAGACCTTCTGGATAGTCTTAAGGCTCTGATGGCTTGCTCCTGGCTCTGGAGCTGTGGAGTCTGGATCTGTGGTGCCACTGTTCATAGTCCTGTTGCTGTTATTACTGCTATCATTATCATCAGTATCAATGTCTTTCTTACCATTTTTCATCCAGTCTATGTGTTACTGTGGAGCCTCCCTCCGCTCCCTCTCTCTTACCCTATGCTCTGGTGGGGGCGTTTGGTGGTCTTAAGGCTCTGATAAGGGGTTTTGGTAGTCTTGGTGGGGGCGTTTGGTAGTCTTAAGGCTCTGGTGGGGGCGTTTGGTAGTCTTGAGGCTCTGGTGGGGGCGTTTGGTAGTCTTGAGTTTCTGGTGGGGGCGTTTGGTGGTCTTAAGGCTCTGGTGGGG